GGTCCAAGTCCGACCGAAACGTCGTAAATTCCATTCTTGTAGCTTTAATGACCCTTGTGACGTCGAGACATTAACTTAATCAACCACCAACCAATGTACTATAAAAAATATTACATAATACTTATAAATTCACAAAATTCATAGATATTTTGTAAGAATGTGATAACATTTATACTTCAATGAAAGTCAGAGAGAAATTAAATTTTTGATAGAAAAAGGCTTAGCGTATTTAAATTTTTCTAAGTTTAATATACTCTGAAAGAATTGTTTAAATTACATTCAGCTATATATTTCAATTTGAAGAGAACGTTGTTTTCAAGTTGAACAGAGAACTGACTGTTAACAGAAGAGAACGTTGACTTTAAAGAGAGAACATTGAACTTAAAGAAGACTTTAAAGAGAAGAAAGCATTGATCTTTATAAAACGGAGAGTACTGATTTATTTACGAAAGGAAATGGATATTAAGAACAGTTTAGAAGGAAGAAAACTCGGGAAAATAAGAATATAGGTCGGGAATAAAGGAGGGAGCGAGATGGGAGTATGAACATCAAAATGGTATACAATACCGACAGGTTGGTAGGTAAGACACATAAGCAACAGTTAGGCAACTTTATTCCGGAATAAAGTTGCCTAACTGTTGCTTATGTGTCTCACCTACCGAGATGGGAGTATATAAGAACATAAGTAAAAGTGAGGTAGACTGGAGATTAGTGACGTCAATGAACAGCTGTGAGATCACCTCAGTGTTGGTTTATGGGTCTTTACACCACACTCAGACGGTTTTGTACATCATATTTTCGCTGAATTTGTTTACGTTAAAACAAATTTCCCGTGTCTCTGAATAGTGCGCCGACTTGTCTTGCTCACCACAATGTATCATTGTACAGACGAATAGAATGGGACCAAGGATTGAACCCTGTGAGACACCTGACCGTACAACACTATTCATTACTTTCTCTTGGTGAGTCAGTATCGGAGTCAAGAGTGCATTTTTTTTCAACTATATGAAATGATAAACGTGTGAATTATATTGAATTTAAGAATTATTTTTGTCTAAATTTTTGCAATGATTATGAAATTTAAATAAATTCATGATGCAGGATTTATCGTGGCATTCATGTTGATTGTAACCCTGTTTTCTTCTATAAATTAAAATATATTGTTAGACTATTTCTTACTGCTTTGAGTATCAGGGCTTCCCAGGTAACAGGTCAGTGCACATTTTCTTTCAGTTGTCTTTGATACTGGTACCACCTGGTACTTTGTCTTATCTCAGTAATATATTACCCCTTCCCCTGAATCAAATTTGATTAGTTATTTCAAAGGCGCTGCGTGACCCCTACTGATTTAGCACCTCACCAGTAATATAATATTCAGTATTATCGTTAATTGTTTATATTCACTGAGAAGGGTTAACCCCGAGGGAACCATAAAACGTCTCTGGAACCAGAGATAATTAGGTATTCGCGGAAGGAAAGGAGTCGTTCTAATTCCTTAGATTAAATGCAATTCACTAACATAATTACGGTATATACTACCGACAAGTTCGTGTGTATGACACATGTGCATCAATCAGGTGTTTTTATCGCAGATAACTTTCGCATGCATATTTGTCAAATTAGAGATGCGACTTAAATTCTGGGGAATATCACAAATAGTGTAAATTTGATGTGATCAGTCCCTTAGCTCAGAGAATAGGTCCATGAATAGTCCCTTGGACTGACCCCTGGAAAAGTCATTAACGGACAACTCATTTGGGATTCACATTTCTCTAAAAATTTAGTCAGATTATTCGTTTGGCTCTTGTTGACTTTATTTACCTTCTGCATTGCTTCAGTGTCTCAAGACTGACAGATTCCCTATTTTAAACTTTCTAAAATAATTTTGGGCATGGATGTGCTTTCATGTGAAGCTCAAGACCCGTGTGGATCATATAATGAAATGTGGGAGATTCAATGCTGTCTACTTTAGCGCGAGACAGATGCTGCACCACTCAGCATACACACGTCTCCAGTTTAATATTTATCTTACTTTAATACCTTTGAAAGCCCAGTTTTATCTGAGATAAACTTCCACCTCACAGGATGTTACCAGCATAGTCAACTAATATCTACGTACTTATTTAAAGCTAAGTAAATAAGGGGCAACAGGTGTAACGAAACTTACTCATGCATATGGTTTCACTTGTAAATAAACTCTGCTAATTCAAACCACGGAACGGGTGGAGTTTAAACCCATGGCAAGTGAATCTTAAACCTCCAGTCCTGTTAATTCAGGTATGAATTGAAGGTGCTGCCTCTGAGCTGAAAACTGTCCCGTAATGTGTCTGAAATCTGATCTGAACGCTATGTTAAGCAATTAAACCACTTTATTATTGCTACAATTCCCTCTACAATTCCCGTATATTAAAGGTGCTACAGAATACATTATAATTTGCAAAAGACAGACTTTTAAAATTTAAAAAATTATCCTTCTTTGTTCGTGTTGATTAAATCTATTTCTTTTGCTTCTAATCTGTAATTCTTTAAAGTTTCTTAATCCCTCGCGTTTTTCTGATACATTACTTGCTGATATATTCCGTTCTCACCTTAGTATTTTCACGAAAAATTAGGAGAGTTCACTTTAGAATGTGTGTGTGTGTGTGTGTGTGTGTGTGTGTGTGTGTGTGTGTGTGTGTGTGTGTCACGCTTCCTGGATGAAAGATGGCGCCTACCCTTCTTGTATTTAGTAACCCACACGGATCTAGCACGTCATGCCAATTAAATAAAGAAATATGTTACCAGTTTCTTCATCGAGGTTACTTTGTGTTACTTTGTGTTTGTGTTATTTTGTGTTATTTTGTGTTATTTTGTGTTATTTTGTGTTATTTTGTGTTATTTTGCGTTATTTTGTGTTACTTTGTGTTACTTTGTGTTACTTTGTGTTACTTCGTGTTACTTTGTATTGCTTTGTTACAAAATTTAACTCTTCTGTAAATCTAGTTTAATATTTCGATGTATTTCATTAAACTACTTCATTTTGTATCTTGAAATTTTCAAATTTACTTTAATTTAATACCACTATGTATTCTAATACCACATTTATTTGTATATAACATCACGTTTCTCTCTAAAACCAAAACATTCCTTTGAATATCTCACCACATTGTTCTATTAAGCGGCGACATTTCACTGAATATCAAACTGCTTAGTAATTCAGTACTATAAAATTTTCCTGGTGGCATTACCGTGATGAAAAGTTAACTGCAATAATCCTGTTGCTTCACTGTATTGCGATTCAGCGCTGCACGTGACATCGTGTTGTGTAAAGTCGTCCACGGTCACAGAATCATTATTATTCATCTGATGTGATGTCTTAAAATAGTAACTTTTCGAAAATTTTCTGCCTGAAAACGCTACGTATCCCTCATTTCCACACAACCTCGTGTTTTCACGAATTTCAACACGAAATCCTGCATGGCAGCCATGCATCTTCATGTGTTTTATTTGTTATATATTACGTCGTAGCCAGATGTGGCTAATTCATGCGACAGGTGATTATCTACAGATTATCATTGTTTCGTTGAGAATTATAATATTCCCAATTATAATAGTTATGGCTCTTTTAGTTGTATACGTCGAAAAAGATGCAGAAAACACTTAATGACTGTTGATCCCATTGGTTTAGAAATCTTATGAATTTACGGAAGAGTGGCATAACGAGAAGATATTAAAATAAACAGAGGAAAAGAGTATCACTGGAGAGAGAGACAGAGAAACAGACAAAATATGGATCAAAGAGGGACGAGAGTGCAGGAAAAACGTTTGAAGTCATTTGTTCCCTTTTAATCACAAGCTTCGGAAAGTACTAGAAGTACCAAGTCTAGATTAGTGTAGCGGGTATGCGGATGTTTTGTGTGTGTGTGTGTGTGTGTGGGTGTGTGTGTGGTGTGTGTGTGTGTGTGTGTGTGTGTGTGTGTGTGTGTGTGTGTGTGTGTGTGAGAACACCAAAGAATGTCTGACAGGAGATCGATTTTGTCACGTTTGGGAATCCAATTTGTGTCGAAAAACACACTCATGTACAGTTCAAAACAGAGTAAACGTTTCGCCACTCGTGGCTTCTTGAAGAAGCCACTCGTGGCAAAACGTTTAGTCTTGTAAATGTCCTGAACTGTACATAACTGTCTCTTTCCATATGTTGTTGGTGTCACATTACCATTTTTCATTCCAGTTTGTAACTACAGATAAATGGCCACCACTTGTTTAGGAGTAGAGATAAGTTTGCTTTTCCAACCTTCGGCGTTTAATCAATCATATATTTTTAATTTACAATTGTTGTAGAATGTAGTGCTTTTCATATGAATATGTTGGTAACCATGTGTAAGAACCTACTTCTGGTAACCATGTGTAAGAACCTACTTCTGGAAACCAGGTGTAAGAACCCTACTAATGGAGCCCAGATGTAAGAACCCTACTAATGGAAACCAGGTGTAAGAACCCTACTTCTGGATACCAGGTGTAAGAACCCTACTAGTGGAAACCAGGTGTAAGAACCATACTACTGGAAACCAGGTGTAAGAACGATACTACTGGAAACCAGATATAAGAACCATACTACTGGAAACCAGGTGTAAGAACCCTACTACTGGAAACCAGGTGTAAGAACCCTACTAGTGGAAACCAGGTGTAAGAACCTTACTACTGGAAATCAGGTGTAAGAACCCTACTACTGGAAATCAGGTGTAAGAACCTTACTACTGGAAATCAGGTGTAAGAACCTTACTACTGGAAATCAGGTGTAAGAACCTTTCTACTGGAAATCAGGTGTAAGAGCCTACTACGACAATTTCCCATTTATTACTAAAATTAAGATATTTTGACTAAAAATTCATTATTTTTATAGTCAAAATACCTAATCTCATAAATTTTATTGTGCTCTTCATATGATTTAAAAAAAAATACGTGAAATCAGCTGCGTGGGTACACTGTGTGTGGGAGGAATAAAGCGTGTTTCAACGCACCTGGTCTTTGGTATCTGTCATGAGCACTCCATCCATCCACCAGGTTATGACAGCAGGGGGGCGCGAACCTCCCGCCTCACACACAAGCGAATATCGCAGTCCTTCCGATAACGGCGAATTCTCCCCCAAGATTGCCACTTCCAGCGGTGGAACTGTGAAGAACCGAGAGAGGTGAGATTGTTATACCTGAGAGAAGCAAAAAAAAGAAAAACCTGTTTACGAAGATAAAGAATTTTGTAACTTTGTTTCATTGGCTGAAATAAACCATATACTGATTAGGATCTTTGTCTTTTTTATTAGTATTTTGTTTTTCTGTAATATATTTTGGCTCTGGTGATACAAAGACATTTAAGGTAGACTAAGCCTTATTCTGGAGTTCGTACTGCGTACCGTTGAACTTTTCCAAATTATCTACCATACAAGTCGGCATCTTAGTGTTTTCCTTTCAAACTATTTTCACTATTGTGGAAATAAGAGTTTACTTGTGCAAGTAGTCAAATGAAAGGAAATGAAGAGAGACAATATTTTTTTTGTACATGAATGGTATACAATACCGACAAGACGAAAAATTAGACACGTGTTCAACACCTGCAATAAAGATACCCAGATGTTGTACATGTGTGTTTTTCAATATTTTTTGGAATAATTCACAACTAACCCACGAGCTGGAACTGAGGACTGGATGAAGTATTATATTAATGGTCAGCGAAACCACCAAAGGAGATAAATAAGACATGTGCAACTTCTCTCCTGCGCAGCAGGCTTTCTCGAACGACATCAGAAGCAACTTTAATACTGCATACTGGTAATTTTAAGGTGTTAAGTCCTTAGGCCAAGGACCTGATCACTTTCAATAAAGTCTAAGAGGCTTAACACAAACCAAGTCTAAAATACTGAGCCCTTAAACATTGCCTCTCCCCGTCTTCCATTGTTAAAGTCGCCACTGTATTCGACTGAAGAATCCTGCGCAGGCGTAACGGTCAGCAATGAAGATACTTAAGTGTTGGACATGTCTTATTCAACTGGAATTGAATGTAGCTTCAGTATATCCTGCACCTTTATCAAGCCACTGGCGGTTTCATTCTAGGATGGACGAAAACCTCGTCTAATTGAATTTCCATTTTTTGGGGAGAGTTGTGAATCTTAATAGGAGTAAGCTTCTGGGTGAAAGGTAAGAGGAGAATATTAAGTTTCGTGCGTTGTGTAATGAGAGAGAGAGAGAGAGAGAGAGAGAGAGAGAGAGAGAGGAGAGAGAGAGAGAGAGAGAGAGAGAGAGAGAGAGAGAGAGAGAGAGAGCCAGCCAGAGACAGCGAGAGATTGTGATTATTTCTTGACACTCACAGCTCATTTCCAAGGTGACAGTGGCTGCCAAGGGGACGGTCATATTGGAGTTACTGGCCCTACAGGTCAACACACGGTAGAGATGCTGGCGACTCAGACGAGGTAAAGTCAAGACGTTTCTGGTGACTTGACCTGTGACCTCTTCTGCCGTGTCATCAAGCAGTGACCCCTCGTGGGACCATCTGACCCAGGGACGAGGTGAACCTGTCATGCACACACAAGGGGAGAGCAGTCATACAGTACTTAGGTAATTTAGTTCACCTTTGTAGTCTCTGCATTAGCCTGGGGTAATTGGATTGGCATTATCTAATTATCCAATTGTTTAGGGGAGAGAAAGAGAGAATAGGGGAAAACATAAAGAACAACTCCAATGGATGCAAGGGCAAGACGTCAACAAGGTGGAATAAAAAAATACATTAGCTATAATTGTGGCAATGTTTCACTTCAAAAAGTGCCTTGATGCTGTTGAAAAGTTTTTGATTAAAAAAATTCGCAACTACTCTTCCTTAGGTTAAACCTATATGTCGTATGACTATAATAACAGAATCATTCTCAACTGCTGTCAGGAAAAGTAGTTGAAACTGAACTATGCTTATAGTACCTAACTTTATTACTTTCAGTGCTCTTATTACTACTCGCCTGTTAATTCTGCTGCTAGCTACTGTTATTTTGAAGAGGAAGTTTGAGATTCTCAGTTCCTCAGTCTTGGTGTTGAGAGACTGGCTACTTCAGTCTTTCCTCTCCTACTAGTCTTTCCACGATATTCATATTTATTTATTTATTTATTTATTTATTAATTTGAACATTATACAGTGAAGTACAAAGGAATACAGTTATTACAGTGCAACATGCCAAAGCCCCTTGTATGCAGAGCATTATGGGCAGGCTTAAAATTAAGATTAACTAAGCAATGATATATTCAGTGGTAAAAACATTATTGTAAACAGATAACAATTTAGCACAAATGAGTATTACAAAGACAGGTCATATGGTCATTTACTGTGTTGCTGAGCATTCAGTAGATTGGAGTATTCTGTTAGGTAATGTAATTTAAAAAATAAAGTTTGATTGGGTCTCAGGTTAGACATTTATGAGATACAATAATGAGAAACATTTACGAGATACAATTTATGAGATACAATTATTCAGTATTTATATAGTAGCATTAAACCTTGCGATTCAACACAGCGTATGCGACACAGGGGATTGATCCAAGGAAGACTGCCACTCACACTACTTTATCAAAATCTGACAGTTTATTATCTTGTACCATATCCATTTTCCCGAGCCCTGACGTGCTACACGCAAAGCAGATATAATTTTAGGAGTAATAATTTCCAGAGAGTATCACAGAGACTCCGAACACCTGCTAACTCATGGATGAAAGTTTATTCTCCACTAACGACATATTCTGTGTATGTGTTTATGAAGATGTTGGTGCACTAAAATGGCAATAGTTCGGTTGAGACAAAAAAAATAGGAAAGAATTTATGTCTATATTTCGAACTAATGAAGTCCTATTCAATAGAAGAGAATGAGAAAGAGGATTTTTTTTGTAGCAGAAAGAAGTCATGATCTGTGGTGGTATGCTATTGGTCAATATTATTCGGGCAAAGCTTGGTTTAAGTCTTCAAGGGTTTTCAATTAGATCTTCGTGTAGCTCCTGGAATTTCGGGTCCGTTGGTGATGAGATTTTGTTTAAATTTTATGCCGGAGTTTAGTGAATATAAAGAACTAAAGGGAACAATAAACAAATAGCTTGCACATAGAGAAAAGCTTGTAGCTTGTAAATGTTCTAAGTCGGACCGATATGCGGAATATTTATGTATTAGTGATTACATCTGATTTCTAGAGACATTTAAATTTTTTAAAATGTAGGCTAGAGTCGAGATGAGTTTGATTTTCTGTCTGAAGGAAACATCCTCTAGTCGTGTTCGTAGCTTCCCACTTCGATATGACTCAAGGTTCCAGGTTTTCGAATAGTTTTCCTGACCACAACTTTCTGATTATTTTTGTCCATTCATTCTCGCCTTTGTATTCCGGCTAGTTGTCTTTTATAGTACAAATTCGCAATTGTTATAATGATCTTATATACTTCAAATCATCATGGCACAAACAAAACGGCAAAACAGCCATACAATTAAACACTGAGAACACTCCGTTAAATTCTCTATTGGTGGTTGATGTGTTAACCTACTACCTCTAAGTAATGTAAATCGATAGTTTCCAGAATAGTTACCAAACTTCTTCTTTGAGAATGTCTGTTTTGTTTGCGTTCATTACTTTGGAAATAAGTTTGTATTATATGGATATGTATGTATGAGATTGGCCAAGAGTGTACCACCAACACGGGCTTAATCTTGGCATGACTTGTCGCAGGCTCCCGAAGGAGTGTCGTAGAATGAAATAAGTCTTAAACTGCTACTGGACGAGTTTGTGGTGAAGGAGACCTATTCATTGTATTGCACCTACTTCCATTAAGTTTGTACTGCACCTACTTCCATTAAGTTTGCATTGCACCTACTTCCATTAAGTTTGTATTGCACCTACTTCCATTAAGTTTGTATTGCATCTACTTCCATTAAGTTTGTATTGCACCTACTTCCATTAAGTTTGCATTGCACCTACTTCCATTAAGTTTGTATTGCACCTACTTCCATTAAGTTTGTATTGCATCTACTTCCATTAAGTTTGTATTGCACCTACTTCCATTAAGTTTGTATTACACTCACTTCCATTAAGTTTGTATTACACTCACTTCCATTAAGTTTGTATTTCTCTCACTTCCATTAAGTTGGTATTGCACCTACTTCCATTAAGTTTGTTTTGCACCTACTTCCATTAAGTTTGTATTCCACCCACTTCCATTAAGTTTATATTTGTTCCTACTTCCATTAAGTTTATAAATACTTTTCTAAACATATGTAATTTATTGAGCATAATAAATAGATACGATTAACTTTGTGTGACAAAAAAAAAGCTTTATTTCTTTAAGTTTTTCTTCACTGGCGAGTATATATCACATTGATGGCATTAGTTTAGCGCTCTTCTGTGTACTTAATTTTTTTTTGCATGTCTGCATTGCCATTTAATCAGTAGAAAAGTTATAGTTTATTCACGGCGGAGTCTTTATAATGCAGTGTTGAAAGTCTTGTTATTGATCCTGACTTTTTTGACATTGAAAAGTTCTAACTGAAAAATATGTCGGTATATTTCATACGCTGATGGCGAAAGTTTCTTTGAGAATTCGAAGTATATAAATAATGACCACTATGATAATTTTATTTATGTGTTTTTATATTTAACTTTTATAGATTCTTCTAGGGTGCGAGGCTAGGGAAGGTGCCTTGATGCAGACGAAGGGCTCTTGACCCAAGGAATTAGTGGACTGTCCCCTCAGTTCAACCCTAATTATTGAAGATTGAGACACTTATGCAGCATATGGGAATCTTTATTCAGGAAACGTTTCGCCACACAGTGGCTTCATCAGTCCAATACAAAGAGGAAGGCGTAAGGAGAGGAGGAGAATGAGGTAATCAGTCCCTCAACCTGGAGTCGATGTGTTCAGTCCATCAATCTTGTAGAATGTACAGCATAGGGCTCAATGACCTCAACGAGTAGATTGTGTCCCCCATGGGTATGATACTACTACTTGTTTTAGATACTTTATTGTGCTAAAACACTAATTATTTTAATATTTAGTGTTGTGAAACTTTTCCAAGTTACATTAGGTAATTAAGTAACGTGATGGGTGAATTAAGAAAGCAATCTGAAAACTATGCTGAGAGAGGAAGTAATTTATTATTACAAGTCTCCATACAGTCGTTGTTAAAGAAAGGTTAGCTCCTGTCCATTTGGTTTTGCTTCTGACCTGGTTAATGATCTCTTTTCGGTTGTCGTTCCCGGTATAGGTGGGTTTAATAGGTTTAAAGGCTTGCGACTACACGAGAGTAACTAAGATAACGTGTCACCTGTAGATCACTAGTCAAGGATACTTTAATTCCTAAAATAGAGATTAAAGAAAGTTCTCAGTTTATGTACTCTGAGAGATGCGCACCTTTACTGTTAAAGAAAACACGTGAGCAAACATATTGGACATTTTATTACGGAAACGTGTTTGGAATGAACAGTGTCCCAAGTCCCGAGATGTTAATAGGACATGTTAATGTCCTAAGTGATTGCTTTTATGCCCTTAGTAACAAGTTAACGGCATTAAATACCAGGATTAACCACACACCTTTTCTGGTACCTTTGCTTGTTTCTGTTTTATGCTTTACTTTGCTTTATATAGCTTTTTCATGCTTTTATAATCTTTTAGTTTTTGCTTTTTGTCATAAGGTGATCAGATTATTAGAACCACACAATAAAAACCGAATATTTATTATTTTATGCATATTATATTAACTTTCCTTCAAAATATTGAATGGATGACACAGTCAGGGTAGAATACAGTCTACTTTAATGTACTGAACATATAATTGTCTCTATTCCTACAATTGCTTCTTTTACGTCGTGCCATAAATTTCTTTCCTCATTTTTTTTAAAACACAGCAGATCAGTATATACCAGTGGTGTTATATACTGACAAATACGTTAATAAGTCAAAATATGATTTATAGTATTGCATTTAGAATTCGGTTTCGTCCACCAGGGGCTTCATCAGTTGGTAAATTCCCTGGTGGACGCAACGTCTTCGTAATAAAAATTTCATAAAGCTTACACTCAGTCTTATTAACAAATCCGGCATTATTAGGATCGCTGACTAATTTTTCACTGACCTCGCAGTAACAAATTGGAAATAAGGCGATAATATTTTTCCTTCGTGAAGAACATTTTCGGAATTAGGATGTTATGCTTCAAACATCAATTTTATTATTATTATTGTTATTATTATTATTAGTAGTAGTAGTAGTAGTAGCAGTGTTATTATTATTATTAATAGTAGTAGTATTAATACTAGTAGTATTAATACTACTTCTACTAATAATAATATGGTGTTCTTAGCCTCACCTCGCCTTAATGCTAGTGAAATTTGTTTTGATCCGAGGAATTGGAGCTACCCTTCCTCGGAATAAATAATATAAAATGACATGATCCGGATAAAACGACCACATGACACGGCTGGAAACAAAAGCACATGTCCGGAAACAATTGCCAGGCGACTCAAACGAAACTACCTCACCAGAACTAAACGATTACACAAGCCGGGCTTTACGGCCACACTACCAGTAGTAAACGACCCAACGACCCATATTACACGACTGCATGACTCTGAATAAATTATCACGTGAAGCAAATATTGTAACACGTTTTCATAGCCTGGAAAAAAGCGTCATACAATTACGACTCAGTAAAACACGACAGGGATTAAACGTTTACTCGTTTTTTGACGAGGATTAATCGTCTTCTCGGTTTTGACCAGGCTTAAAGAATGATACGATACTGATCAGAATTAAACGACAATTCGATTTTGATAAGAAAGGAATAAGATGATTCAATTTTGATAAGGAATAAAAGACAATTCGATTTTGATAAGGAATAAACGACAATTCGATTTTGATAAGGAATAAACGACAATTCGATTTTGATAAGGAATAAACGACAATTCGATTTTGATAAGGAATAAACGACAATTCGATTTTGATAAGGAATAAACGACAATTCGATTTTGACAAGGAATAAACGACAATTCGAATTTGATAAGGAAAAAAAGACAATTCGATTTTGATAAGGAATAAACGACAATTCGATTTTGATAAGGAATAAACGACAATTCGATTTTGATAAGGAGTAAACGACAATTCGATATTGGCCAGGAGTAAATGAATAAAAGGTTTCACCAAGGTTAAACGACATAAGTATGTTGACTGGGATTAAACGACTACTTCCTTTTGACCAGGAATAAACATACGTGTGAAGTGAACCATGAATAAACGAATAATCAAGTATAACAAGAAAACTATCACACTGTTTTAGCGAGGACTAAACGAATATACTCTTCTGACCAGTATTCATCGAATACCGGAATTAAATCAGGGGGTTAGCAATTCCCAGTTTGGACCTCAACTAAACGATTCTGACCTGGACTGAACAATAATGTTACACTGAGTGAATAATCAACCCAGAGATAAAAAAAAAAAAAGTTGCAGTACCATGGTTCGAACAACGCACGCAAAAAAGACATTTATGAGAGGATTATATATATATATATATATATATATATATATATATATTATATATATATATATATATATATTTATATATATGTCGTGCCGAATATGTAAAACTGGTCAATTAGCAAGAACTCATTTAAAATTAAGTCCTTTCTAAAATTTTCTCTTATACGTTTAAAGATAAAAAATTTTCATTAATGTTGATGTAAAAATTTACAATTTTGTACCAAAAGGAGCTTAGAAAACTTACCTAACCTTATTATAACAAGAACAATTTATTTTAGCCTAACCCAACTAAATATAATTTAGATTTGTTTACAATAATTTAATACTAAAGAAACACAATGAAATATATTTTTTTCGTTAGGTTCAGAATGATTTTGGCGAAATTATTGCATACACAAATTTTCACTTGTCCTATATGGCAAGATGAGCGTTGCTATTTAAGCCAAGATCGCAAGTTCTGCCTATTCGGCACGACATATATATATATATATATATATTATATATATATATATATATATATATATATATATATATATATATATTATATATATATATATATATATACACACAATAAGATCACAGTAAACAGGTGATTTCAGATATGCAAAAATACTACTGTGAAAGAATAGTGAAATTCCAAGCGCTTTCGTGACTACTCACATTATCAAGGAACTATGATAGTTCCTTGATAATGTGAGAAGTCACGAAAGCGATTGGAATTCCACTATTCTTTCACATTGGTTGTTTTGTATATATATATATTATATATATATATATAATATATATATATATATATATATATATATATATATATATATATATATATTATATATATATATATATATAATACTGTATACATATTTATATATGCATATAAAGTAGGCGCTCGACCAACTGCGACACACAATTCTCCGAGGCATCAATAACTATGACAGTCAAGACACATTTTTCATGCTTTTTCGAGATTTTTCTATTCCACAATCTAGAGAGATCTGTGGGAATAAATTCAAGTATCGACATTTAAAATGGTGTGAGAATTTTGAATGCTCTCAATAAAGATTTTCTTTTTCAACACTTTACGACTTCAACGCTGGCGTATAAAATACTTTTCCGAGTGAATGGGGAAAGACCTGAATGCTGAGAGGAGAAGGCAAGCAGTTTGTTGAGGAATAAGAGTGAAGAAAGTGTTATATTATGAGTCAGTTTTAACTTTTCTCTTTAAATTTTTACACCTAAGTCTGTCATAAAAATCGTAGGCATGTAATAAAAATCATAGGCATGTAATTCCCAAAAGTTTGCTTAGGCAATGATTTTGTTTTATTGGATACCTCAATTTTTTTTTTTTTTTTTTTTTGACTGTTATATGGTTGAGTTCAAGGTTTTTCTTAATGTCGTGATTCTCATTCTCATTCTCTCTCTCTCTCTCTCTCTCTCTCTCTCTCTCTCTCTCTCTCTCTCTTCTCTCTCTCTCTCTCTCTCTCTCTCTCTCTCTCTCTCTCTCTCACTCTCTCACACACACACACCGTAACACGATATATATCACTGTCATCAAGCAAGTCGGATTATCTTCCCGTCATAACCATTACTAATCATGTTAATTATCATCATCTTGGAAATTACACAAAAATCATCCTGCTCTAATCTTTGTGATCATAGCAGAATTAAATTTCAGTTTTTTGATTATTGAAGGTAATAAGAAAGGAATAATACCATTTATCTAATTATTATTGCTAATTGCATATTATAAAAAAATAACACTAAGAGCACTTTAATATATGTTTATTATTATTAGTATAAGTATTACTATTCTCTGGAATTAGTTACCTACCTCCGGTTACCTGACAGGTGAGTGCTAATGAGCCACCCACAGGGTAAGGACCAATAACACCGCTAACCTCCAGGCCAGCACTGCTTAGGATGCTTAGTCGACGAGGTGGAACTGTCAAAGAGAATTTTGGTAGTTTTGAGGCCTTTTAGTAGCAACATTTGATGTTCTTTTGGTAGCAGCATGTTATATATGTTTGGTAGCAACATGTGATATTCTTTAGGATGTGGACAGATAAGCCAGGGACGAGGTGAGATGAGTGGTAGACAAGAGGGTGTCGAGTGGTGGGGAGACAAAGATGGTATAGGAGAAATGTTTGTTTCTCCTGACAGACGAAGTACCTCACCTCTTGAATCTTGTGGGTGATTAGAACTCTTTATATTTACCTGTCAGCTAACAAAAAAAATATAGGCTCAAATAGGGAGTAAAGTCTATTTTCTGTGTATATAAACAGAGATGTACATTGATCAGCGATGTGTACACTGAGGGATATACGCTCTTCATTGTATAATTATTTATATATATATATATATAATATAATATATATATATATATATATATATATATATATATATATATATATATATATCCTGAAGGAAATCCAGGGGGATTATTATAGCCTTGCTTCACTTGTCTTAGGCGATTAGTTTGGAGT